TGAGAGTACTCAAAGGCATGAAAGGAGCTGGGTGTGAATGACTTCTTGGTCTTACCCTCTTCTAAACCTGCGGTTAGGAGCATTTATTTGCTGGCTAAGCAAACCTGAGCACCTGTTCTGTACCAGTCTTCCAATGGACTTTGGAGACAGAGATAAATGAGGCCCTTCAAATGGGCTCATACTCTAGACAGACTGTTGTAGAAACAGTGACCACACTGTGTAAAGAGGAAGGGGACAACTAAACCTTTTGAAAACAGGTCGGGGGAAGGCTGCATGAAAGAGGTATCATTTGAATTGAGCTTTGAAGCATCATCACAAGGTGGAGGTGCAGAAGGAAGGGAAATAAAATACATTGCAGGTCGAGGGGACAGCATACACAAGTCCAGCATTCTTGCAAGTCAGCCTGAGAACTGGTAGATTAGTGTGATTAGTATGGCTGGAGTAGAGGTGGGCAGAGTCAGCAGGAGGCAGGACATAAAGGCCTTGAGTGGCAAGAATGGGGAGTTGTTTGGGGCACCTGGGTGGCCCAGTAGGTTAAGTGTCTATCTTCGGCTCAGGTCATGATCCCGGGGTCCTGGGATCGAGTCCAGTGTCAGGCTCCCTGCTCAGTGGGGAGCCTGCTTCTCCCTCTGCCCCTCTCCCCTGTTGATGTGTGAGTCCTCTCTCTCTTGCTCTCTCAAATAAAATCATTTTTTTAAAGATTTTATTTATTTGAGAGAGCACAAGCAGGGGGAGCAAGAGGGAGAGGGAGAAGCAGGCTCCCCGCTGAGCAAGTAGCTCCATGCAGGACTCGATCGCAGGACCCTGAGCCAAAGGCAGCCGTTTAACCACCGAGCCACCCAGGCGCCCCAGTAAATAAAATCTTAAAAAAAAAAGAATGGGGAGTTGTCAGAAGTTACGGAACTCCAGTATCCCGTATAGATGGACTGGTAGGCACCAGACTCCAGGCAGGAAGACAGTAAAGAGGCAGTGTTACCAGTCAGGTAAAAGGCAAAGGTATACTTAACTAGGACAGTGGCTGCAGGAATGAGAGAGGAGGAAAGCTCATTATCTTCGAGGTGGAATGAACAAGACAGAAACTCATTTGGACACTGAGATGCCAAGGACCCTTCAGTTGGATTCAGGGGTCTGTCATCAGAACTGGGGGTAGGGAGTTAAAAGGTCAGGACTTTATCAAGGGAAGAGCAGGAAGAGAGCCTACAACGAAGTAGAGAAAACAAAAGACAGTCGCACTCTCCCCTGCAGGAACGGGAGTTTTTGAGCCAACTCTTCTGCCCCAGCTGGCTGCCCCACTAGTGGCCAGAATCAACACATTCTCAGCCTGGGTCCAGGGCTCAGAAAGTTATGTAAACTCAAGAGCCTGCCTTATTCCTAGAGCTGGTTTCCTCTCCCAGCAGTTTGCTAGAAAACCCCAGCCTGTAGCCAGGCGAAACCTTGGAAACAGAGGCTAGCCAAGTGGCTGGCCTCTTACACGTGGGGGGAGTAACTGCTGCCCTCCTGCTCCATAAGGTGACAAGCAGATGAGCAAGAGGTATAATCATCATTACTTTATGCTCCATCTGAAAGTTCATGCTCCATAAGGAACACGGAGACAGTAGTTCTCTCTGGGGATCCATCTGAGCCATGCCCCCAAACCCTTAGCCAAAAAGACTGTCCCCTTAGCACTTCATTCCTTTGAAATCCTCTTTGATTTCACCAGGGGCAACCCACTTCATATGCAAATATGCTCCTGGCCGTAGGACCCTCTGCCATTCAGACCACAAGGGGAACAGGCCAATCAGGCACCTCCTGGGAAGGGTCAAGTGAGCAAGGGAAGAAAGAAAAGAGGGGGGTGGGGCAGGCTCTCCTTCCAAAGGGGGATCCCAAGGTGAGGAAGAAAGAAAAGTCCAGAGAGAAAGAGGTTGGTTAGAAGTAGCTGGTGGGGAGAAGCTTCATGCTCCAGATCCCAGCTCTTCTTCTTCTAGCTGTGTGAATTTAGGGCAGTCTGGGGGCGGGGCGGGGGGGGCTCCTTTTCCTCCTTTGCCAAAAGGGATAATTGTTGTAAGACAAGGGAGATCAAATAGCTGGCACAGAGTAGGTACAAATGTTTGTCTCTTCCCCTAGTTTTGAACTGATTTCATAGTTTTGCTCAGTGTACAGCAGTCTGCCTTCTCCGCGCCCCCCTTGCCTTCTACCAGCTTGAGCAGCCGAGTCCCCCAGACGGGAGACTCTTTGAATGGTTCCGCGAGAGGGCAGTTTGTGCTGGCTTCCCTTGGCACTGCTGGACAAGGACCCCCCCAGGATTAACACCCGCTCACTTCCTTCTCCCAGACAGCTCTCCCTGCCCCCTTGTGCGTAAAAGTGAGGTGGTAGTTGCTCCCTGCCCTCCATCAGCACACATTCTCTTTCCATTGTGTTCCCGGGGCCCCAGTGTGGAAGCCCTCTCCACCCACTTTAGCCGTGGGGTTCTGCCCTTTGTCCCAGCTCCCATGATCCTTAGGGTAACACCACACAGCTTTCCACTTGATTATATCCAATTAGCTATTTTTGCTTCAAGGGCAGGGAGCAGGCCTCCTTGTTTTCTTGGATTTTCATGGAACACATAGCATGGAGCTGTTCACACAATAGGTGTTCACTGTAGCTCTGCGGAATTGAGGTGATTCATTTGTGTAGTCAACAAATACCTACATCTGATAGGATTCGTAACCATTAGGCACTGGGGCAGGAAGGATCGACCTCTCAACACCTGGGAAGGGGTTGGAGACTCCTCTCAAAAATCACTGGCTTCAGAGATATTACTGCCAATGGGAGCAAAATACCATGTAGTGCAGGCAACAAAAGGCTAGTTAAGGTCTTTGGAGACAGACCTAGATTTGAATCCTGCTTCTGCCACTTTATAGCTGTGTAACCTCAGGCAAGTTACATGTTCTCTGCCTCGGTTTCTCTCATCTGCAAAATGGAGATAGTAGTACCCATCTCACTGTAAGCATTGAAGGGGACAAGTATACCCAAGTTCTTAGCACAGTGCCTGGCCTACAGTGTATGGCCAGAACGTGGTCACTGGTGATAATGATAATAGTCATTTACTTAAAAGAATATTCTCTGGAGTGAGGCTTGTTGGAGTGATACATAACAGCTCCCTTGGACAAGGCTGTTAGAAAAAAGACTGAAGAACAGTGCAAGAAAGAAAGAAACAAAATTATAAACAAGCAGTGCCCCAAACCACAGTAAGTCCTATCCTGAATTAGCTCCCTACCCACTAAGCACTGTTGGGGCCCCAAAGCATACCACTTCCTAGCAGGACTAGTCAGTTTCTGAGGGCATGGAGACTGGTGCAAATATAAAAGAATAAGGCCTTCACACTCTCCAGTTGTGGCACAATGGAGGGACATATCTTTGATAACCACTGAATGGAAAGAGCACTGGTAAAAGAGACAGACGAGGCCTCAGGCCAAGCTCTACTATGTAACCCCAGGCAAGCCACTAACCATTCCAGACCTTGCTTTCCATAATGCCTGCTCTCCTTTCCTCCCTGGGTAGGTGAGGTTCAAGAGGAGTGCTAAAAGTGTTTTTGAAAACTGACAGACTGACCAGAAGTGAGGTGGTACTATTCATAGCTCTAGGGACAGGCATACCCTATGTTTGCACAGCCCTGCCCTTCCTTCCAAGCCTCTCCACACCCTCAGCATCTTGAAGACTTGGTCAGTCTCTCCTTCCCATGAAGCCTCTGAGGAGCTTCTCAGTGCTGTGTCCCTGTTTCCACCTGTGGCTACACTGTCTTATAATGATTTGAGGATCTGGGCAGGGTCAGCATCTTAATTCTCCTCTCCATTCCTGGTGCCTGCAAGGGCTTGGCACGGAGTCAGCACCTTGGCTATGTGATTTGGATAAACAGTGAGGCTACCCCAGGCCACAACGATCCCTTCAGCTCTGGACTGCAGCATTCACTAATTCGTCTCTTACTACATGCAACCTTTTCACGTTGTGCTTAACTTCCATGTAACACTGGATGCACTTGTCTCATCTCCCTGCCGGCCATCAGCTCCCAGGGACTGCATCCTGCACCTCTCAGGACCCCTACAACATGCCTGGGCCTAGGCCTGCCCCTGGGAAATGCTCAGTAAACACTTATTGCCAGACAGTTCTTGGGCCTCAGTCACCTGATCAGGATGTGTGATAATTGCCACATGTCAGACATTGCAAAAGTAGTGGTTCAAAGCACAAGGACTGGAGCCAGACTGGGACTTGGGCAGGTTACTTAACTGCACCTCTGCCTCCATATCTGTAAAACAGGCATAATACTGTACCGACCTCATAGGGTTGGGATGAACATTAAGTCATTGATACATATAAGCCCTTAGAACAGTGCCCCTAGAACGGTAAACTCACCAAGTTCACCGTTGCTGTTATTAGCTAAGACCGACCCTGCAGTTCTGAGAAGGCTGGGCTCTGATGCCTGCAGCAGTAAAGAAGGGAGCCGTGTTGCTCATAGACAGTAGCTTTCTGTTTCAGGCCCAGTCCTCTGGAGCCTCAGTATGTGACCGAGAGTAGCAGACCATGCCACCCCCAAATATGCCACTCTGGCACATTATTTTGAACCGTAGGCACTTGAAAAACAGCAAATGCAGGGAGCGGCTTTCTCTGAACTCCCCTTATCTGCCTAAAGACAGATCCTTCCAAAGGAAGTCAATTGTCATAAATCTCCTCCCTGGAAGTTTCCATAACTGGGAAAGATTGACTCTTACCACAGGAGAGACTAGAAGTAGACAGCACACTCAGACAGACTTTGTCACAAACTATCATACCTTGTTTTTCTAAGGGCCCATTCATCTTTCCTAAAAATCTCCCCTAAGAGTCCTACATCTCCTCCTCCCCTTTCCCTATTAAGATGATGTTTAATCCTGAATTCTAAGCCACCTAGGGGAGTTAGTCATTTTTCCCTCAGTGTCTCCCAATTATACATGAGGTATACATGTTCATAAAATTCTATTTTTCTCTTGTTAATCTGTCTTTTATTACAGAGGCCTCAGCTAAGAATACAGAAGGGTGCAAGTAAAATTCCCTTCCCTGCATGACAAAATTTAGTGATTTAGTGAGAGGATTTCCAGAATCTTGGCACACTCAGCAGAAATACTGAAGATGTGACCAGGTGCTCACTGAGGCCCTGGAGGAAGCTGGATATCACATCAGAACCCTTTCCTTAGAGGCCACAAGCTCTGGGAAGCAGAAATCCTGAAGTGCATGGTGCCGGGACAGGGCAGAGACAACACAGCATCCAACCACGCAGTCCTTCAACTGTGTGCCTTCTTTGTGTGCGAGACACACACTCCCGCCCTTGTTGAGAAACCTGAGCCAAGTTGCCTGGAATGTGCTCTGCATAAGTGCTCAAACATTACAGTCACTTATCAATACAGCCTTAGCTAATGCTAGGCCTTCTGCCGGGAAATGCTTCTCCTCATTAGACTCTACCTATAAAAATTCTACCAGTCCTCCAAAGCACAGCTCAAAAGATGCCTTTTTATCCATTTATCCAAAAATATTTGCTGAATGCCTACTTATTTGAACCAGACCTTCTTCTGGGGATACCAAGAGGAGGAAGGAGTGCAGAGTTTAGTGCAAGCAGCCAGGCAAATAAACAAATACTGAAATTCAGTGCAATGGGGGCTATTAGAGAAGCATGGACAAAGTACAGTGAGATCCTTAAAGCACTCACCCTGCAGGGAAAACAACTGACCACAAATGACTTGACTAATTTCAATTTGAGAAACGTGTTATGAAGAAAATAAGATCAGTTAACATGAAAGAAAACGGCTGGCAGTTCGCATGGTCAGGGAAGAAAGGTCTGTAGTGACATTGAGCCCAGAGTGGGATGACGAGAAGCATTTGGCCATGGGGGCAATTTGAGGGAGCAGCAAATGCAAAGACCTGAAAGGTGGGAATGATGCTGATGACGATGAGCATAGCGGTTTTAGGAACAAAAAGAATGTCATGTGTCTGGAATATAACGAGAGGGGACTGACTGGTGGGAGGTGAGCCAAGTTGAGATTATAGCATAAATACAATTTATATATATATTTTTTATTCAATGTTATAATGTAAGAATATTCTTGGTTGTGAAAAATGATTTGTAAACATTTTTAATGGCTGTATTAAAAAATCATCATATTAAAAAAAGAAGAAAGTTTCATTCTGCTTGAAAAAACAATCCTATGAGGTACACTCCTGTTAAGGAGACAGTCCCTGCTCAGTCTTCAGAAGTCAGTGGGGAGAAGGGCAAAAAGCCATGGGAGTTAGGCTAGCCCCCTCCTGTAGGTGTCCTCATTGCCACTTCTAGGCCCCTGTGGTCAAGGCTCAGAGTGGCAAAAACCCCACTGACCAAACCCCAGGGACTACTGATATATCCTGTTTCCATCATAGAGTGTCTGAGCCCCAGAAACTTCTCCCTCTGGCCCTCTGGCCCCCTTCTATGTATTGCCCATCCGTTCTACTCTGATGGCTTGAGAAGAATTCTCAGGTGTTCCCTGGTACAGACCACTTCCTTTTGCAGGGAACAAGCAATGCTGACAAGGCCCTCTTCCAGAAGGTAGCTCTCCTTTCTCCTCTCCTAGCCTGGCCTTTGGCTTCTGGCTTCTCCGGAAAGTCACAGGACTAGACCGGCTTCTCTCTGCCAACGTTTTAGTCTTTAGGGCTTGAGCTGCAGGGTCTGCGGAACTCCTGTCCATACTCATGTATCCACTTGTTGGCCACTGGGAGAGAATGGGGAAGAAGAAGAGAACAGGCTCAACATAGCAGCAGCAGCAATGCTCACTCACAGGGCCACGCAAGGGCCACTTACACCCTGCACTTCACCTGCCTCACCCTAGTCCCAGCCCTGCAACAGACTACAAGATACTGCTTCTAGCAAAGATAAAGAGCAAAGAGGACACTGTCCCCTGGAAAAAGTCTCTGACAGGTCCTGTCTACTATAGACTAATTTTCAAACCTTGGGTACTAAGGTCACTCACGCTTCGTTGATGTAGCACCTAAAAGTCCACCCTCCCCCCGGTGCAATGAGAAAAAAGCGGTGGCTTGTCTTGGCAATGTCCGTCTCAGCATGAGAGTCTCTTGTCGACTTTTTCTGTCTTCAGAACTAAGTGCTTTTGGACACATATATGACATAAATACACCTGCTGCTTATTTATCTATTTAGCTCTTCCTTGTGTGACCATCTCCACACGGGGAGGCACTAAATGGGACACATAGTGGCTTGATGGTTCTCTCCTGGGGTCAGAGGGCTGGAGCTTAGGACCATTTTCCTCCTCAGCTGTGCTCAGGAATCAAGGCCTATCTGGTCAGGTCAATAAACTTTCACTGACACCTGCTCTGTGAGAGAATCTTTGCCCTTTAAGGCTTCCCAATCTTTGGGGGCAACTAACCCACAATCTGATCATCTCAATATTAAGTGGCACTGTCATGAAGCTTTTGGAATGACAGGGCTATGCTATTTTCCATCCACCCCCTATTTGACTTTACTCTGAACCCCTCACCCCATTCTCATGCCCAGAAAGGCAGGCCTTACCCCACTTATCTCCCACCAGGACAGGACAGCCCGCATGAAGTGTGTCACCATCCCCTTCACCACTCCTGTGCAGATTCCACCAAAACAGTGCTGCATTCTGAAAACAAAAGGGCCCACCCCAGAGAGGGTCAGCCCAGAATTTCAGTCCTGTGGAAGGACATGACTATGACTAAGGACAAATGCATGTATATCATTAAACGAGAACACTGTCCATGCAGATTGGGGGCAAGGCATGCATAACATGGCACAAGATGGCATAAGTTGCCATTCACCCATTCATTCATTCATGAATGCATCATTTATTGAGGGCCTGCTCCGCTCCAGGCCCTAAGGATGCAGAGACAAATCATATCCAGTTCTGCTCTCAGGAGCCCACAGTCTTATAGGAGAGACAGACATAAAAACAGAACAGGACAGTGCGGCAAGTGCTAGGAGAAAGGTGAACACATGATGTCATTGGATCCCAGAGGAGAGGCCCTCAGCAAAAACCACAAAGTGAAACAAAATATTCCTTATACAGTTAAGACCTTAATTCAGATGCTTACCCTTCCTCGGGCACTTACTAATAATACCCCCCAGGAAGCAGGCTTTACCATACTCCCCACTTTACCAGCAATGAAGTTGAGGCTTCGGGGCTTTAAGTAATGCAACTAAGAAGGAGCGAAGTCGAGACTCAAACCCAGGTGTTTTGACAAATCCTGTATGTCCTTTTTTCCCGCTATGGATGGTTTTTTCCCCCTATACAATTCCTATAGACTTAGTTTAACCTTGGCCATTAGAAGCTGTCAAAGCCCAAGGTGACGAAGAGCTTTCCAGGCGGCACTGACAGCTTCTGCATTCCCAAGTCTAGAAGAGACACTAATCCCCTGAGGATTCCTAGATCCCGGCCTTTACTTAGGCAATGCTTACGATGTGCTTGGCACTGTGCTAAGTGTTTTATAGGCACAATATCATTTCTCTATCTTCATTTCATTCCTGAGTTAGGTAAGGGCTTTGAGGGAGCTTGATGGGTCTGAAACTGGGGGGAAATGAAACCTCTATCACACGGCCCTCCTCTGTGCCTCACGTGATCTCATAGTTCTTATTGCAATAGTTGTTACTGCTCGTTAACTTCTCTGCGAGCTCCTGGAGGACAAGGATTATGAGTTTTCCTCTGTACCCCAGTGCTTTCAGCCCTCAGTGTCCATTGAATGAATGCCTGAGGGGACCAGCTGCTCTAGAGGACCCAAGGGTCACTAAAAGAGAGTTCTTACCTTTGAGGAGTTCTATCGTAATAGAGAAGGCAGACATGTAATCATCTACTTCTAATATAAATAGTCATTAAATTTTGAAAATAGATGCACAAGTAACATGTGGTCATCTAAATTGAGGGATTAGCTTTGATTCTGAGAATCAGAGGAAAATATCTTTTTATCCCTCCTCCCAGGAATAAGCTTGCAAGCGCAGACAGCACAGAAGCTCAGGTGTTAGTTCTGCGCTCTCATTACCACCACGAGCTGGGACCGGACCCCCACTCACCTTGACCACGGGCACGCTAAAGTTGGCATAGATGAAGGCAGTGGCTCCTCCAGCTTCCACGGAGCTCAGCTACAATGCCGAAGAGTCAGCGTTGAAATAGCCCGACTACCCAGCTCTGCCCCACTTGACATCTGATGTCATTTGTGCAGAGAGTTCTTCCCAGGTTCCCCTATTTCAGCTCCAGGAGAAATACTTATTGAAAGATAATCACCCAATTTAGGAATTAAGGGAGCGTACACCCTGGCATTAGTGTTTGCCTGCAGGGCCGTAAGAGGACAGCCTTTAGGAACTCCTCCCTTTCTTCATCCTTACAGCTAACATCCTTATTGAGGGCTACAGTAAGTCGATTTGAAGTTTGAGACCCTCAGGAAGAAATCTAGTTTAAATCACAACCCAAGACACAAGAATGTTTCACAAAACATTCTTACTGCACGAGATACCCTTTGTTATTTTCCATTTTATTTTATTCTATTCCAGTTCAGATTTCTTAAATGCTGACCACATCCACTAAATTAATTTCACAGCCCACTAATGGATCATGACTGTGGCTTACAGAGCACTGTTTATATTACAATTAGTTTTCCAAGTTGGGCATTGTAAGAACCACTGATTGCAGCTTTGGCATGTTTCCCAGACCACTCATCCCACGCTAGGTAACCTCAGCTAAGGAGTTTCACCACTGGTATATTCTAGAATTGTAGATGTCTTCTCTTAATATGAAGACTTTTTTCTGATTGTCAAAGAAATATATAAAAAATTTAAAATACAGGAAAATACTTATATCACTCATCATATCATCGAGAAAAAAAAGCATGGTTGTAATTTACATACTAATAACGGGCATTTATTCAGCACTGACTACATGCTAGATGTTATACTAAGTCCTTACAGATATATTATCTTACTTATTCCTCACAACAATCCTGTAAATTAGAATTGATACTGTTATAATTCACATTTTACAGATGAGGAAACTGTGTCTCAGAGAGATTAAGTACTTAACAAAAGGTTACATCACTCTTCTTGGGTGACAGGCCAATTTGAACTGAGCCACTGCTAACTACAGAGTCCCTGCTCACAATTTTATGCTATATCCTTGAACATTCAGGTTATTTCCAAATGTTTGCTATTATAAGCAACTCTTAGTGAGTAAAATCTTTTTTTTTTTTTTTTTTTTTTTTTTTTACACTGGTCTCATAAGAAAGAGTCTGGGCCATTAGTATTACTGAGTCAAGAGTGTATGCATACGTTGAATACTTTTGGTACGTACTGCTAAATTATTTTCTCACCAGCAGTGCAACATGACAGAGCCTGTCTGACCTCACCCTGTCTCTCAGAACGTTTGTGGATCCCACCACATTCACCTGTTAGGCGTTAGGACGTTGGCACTTGTTAGAGGAAACTGAACTGACATGGTGATTCAGAACATGGTAGTGACGGTGGTGATTTTTAGCATTTCACGGCTCTCCGTGTAGCCCCTCGGGAAGGTCGATGAGAGCAACAATTTGCTCCTTGTGTTCAAGTAACTAATGGGATGATTCCGTTCTAAACCCTGTTGTCAGCAACTATGGGTGTAAGCAATATACACAGGGGAACCTGCATTTTCCTGCATTCCTTTACCTGCGGTTTTGCTGTATGGCGGAAAGGAATGACATCAAATTGAAAAGAGAATCTGACCTGTGTGCTATGAAGCTTCTGAGCAGGATTATGAGATCAGTGGAGTGGAAGTAAACCTTCCACAGTTTTGTACTGGGACTGATCTTATCTCTAGTTTGAACAAAAAATTAGTAACTTGATTTCAGCTCAGTCCTCTGCACATCTTTTGGTTATTTTCTCCCTACAATATTACGCTTAGATTCTCCACAAACCTTAATGTCTGTCGTTAGAAATGCTTGTAATGGTCTTTACCTACCTCAATCTGAAGATGAAAGAATTGGGATAACCTAGCACGTCCTAGGTCCCACGATGCCAATGCCCCTTTAAGGGGTCCTATACCTCCTTGTGGGATGCAATGATAGAAACCTATTGGATAAAACTTTACAGAGTGACATCCCCTCACATGATCTCATCAGATCCTCATGACAACCCTATGAGGAGGTGCAGGACAAGAAAATAAGCTCAAAGAATTGATGTGATTTGTGCTGAGGCCACATAGTAAGTGGCAGAACTGGAACTAGGCCAACTAACTCTAAGTGCATTCCATTCCACTGTCACAAATGCTTATACTCAAATGTACACGCACACGTGTGTACACTCACCCCCCTCCACATACACACACTTGCATTTTGCCATTTAAAATTGCAGGACTCTTGCATCCATGCTACCCTTACGATAGTAACTGAGCCTCGGGAACCAGGGAACCAGCGGTAAGAGCTGTTAGGGAGGTAAAGAACAGAGAGATACTGGCCCCTAGATGTCCTATTCTTCGCTTGATACCAATATTCCTCACTACCTGTGACTTCCCATGCCATCTGGAGTCATCAGCCAGAGATACAACCAGCTGCTGATAGAAGACATGCCCCCTGCCTGGAGAGCTGACATCCCTCTAATGCCTGATCAGAACACTCAGAATGACCACTAGAGGCCAGACACCACTGCAAGTGGCAGCCTTCTGGTTCTGCGGCAAGTATAAAACCCAGTCACAGGAAGAACTACGATGGAATCACCAGCACCACAGACCATAAAGTGTGGCCTCTGGTTGTCCTTTTTTGGCTGCCCTGTGGAGACAACACAGCACTGAGAAAAGAGGGAATGCTAGGGTGGGGGTGTGCTAGTCTAATGAGCCTGAAACCAGGACTTCATCTTTGGGTGTTATGTAGAGCCCTTCTATTAACATGTTTATCCCTTCAGTTAACAGTCATACACCTCTTATAATTTAAGTGCCAGACGATTGAAATTATGACTGGTCCACAGAGAATGAAGTAAACCTACATGATCTGCAGGGAAGGGGGTAGGTGAAATAATAGCGACGAGGTTCAATTCCTAGGATCAGGTCAGAAATTAGGAGAGGAGGCCAATTTATTTGTTAAGGGGGTATACTGCAGATTTTATGGGGAGACTGGAAAGGGAATTTTCACTACATGTAAGACAGCAACACTTCCTGAATTTCTTAGTAGACATCTCTGTTCTTTCCTCCTGTAATCCTAGCTGTCTCCTTTCTCTTCCCTCTTTCCCCTCATGGCTCCACAACCTCATCCATGGATCCGTGCTTTCCAACACCAACTAGTCTGTGTGACCTCAGAGAGAGACTCTCACATCCCCTTCCTGTGTTGGTCAGGTCCTAGGCTCTCCTGGCCTTCGATGTAACCTTCAGTGTAACCCTACTTCCCATCCTAATCGCTGCCTATGACAAGGTCATATTTAAGTCTATGCACTGTAAGCTCTTTGAGGGCAGGAACTCTGACTTCTATTTCTTTATCTCCTGTAGTGCCTATTAAAAATGCTGTCTGAAAGTCGCAAAAGTCTCAGAGATTTTTGTGCTGTATCAGATAAAATCAGTGCCTGATATTGCTTTGAAAACCATAAAAGAGGAGCAGTATAGTCATTAAATAAGAAGCCCTGGTCCATCGAAAGCAAGACTCACATAGATCATAAATGTTGCAACTCGGTTCCCAGACTTCATTCTGTACAGTGGGCTAGTTGGTGACTGAGACAAAAATAGAACATATCATTATTTTATGCAGATGGCACCAAAGTGACAGTCAGGATTCCCACATAATACAGGGAGAAAAATGGGGATGTCACAGATGGGATACAGCCTTGAGCCACACCCTTGCTGGCAGGTACTCACTTAAATTTTTTTTCTTTTGCTAATTTATTAGATACTCATTTAAGTGAATTGTATACAGTTGATCCTTGAACAATATGGGTTTAAACTGTGCAGGTCCACTTGTATGCAGGTTTTTTTTCAATGAGTATTGTAAATGTGTTCTCCTCACGATTTTCTTAATAACATTTTCTTTTATCTAGCTTACTTTATTGTAAGATTACAGTATATAAACATATAACATACAAAATGTGTTAATCAACACGTTTATGTTATTGGTAAGGCTTCTAGTCAACAGTAGGCTATGAGTGTTTAAGTTTTGGGGAGTCAAAAGTTATATACAAATTCTTGGCTGTGCAAGGGGTTGGCCCACGTTGTTCAAGGGTCAACTGTACTAATCAAACAGAACGGCTTGTCAGTAGTGAAAGTACTATATGAGGTTAACTTCAGGTTCAGTGAAATAAAGAAATTAGTAGATACACTATTACAGATAATCATTCTATAGGAACACCAAGTCATTTGAAGTTCCCAATTATTTGCTCAAGACACACTGTTGTCATAGTACAGTTTGACTGAGATATAATTTACATATCCTAAATTCACCCACTGTAAGAGTATCTTTCAGTGAGCTTTAGTAAATTTTAATAGTTGTACAGCACTCCCACAATTCAATTTTAGAACACTTGCCTCAGCTTAAAAAGTTCCCTTGTGTCAGTCAGTCCCTATCCTACCCTCAACCTCGGGCAACCACTGATGTGCTGTCTCTATAGTCTTGCCTTTTCTAGAAATTTCATATAAACAGAATCATAAAATATGTAGTCTTTTTTTGTTTGGCTTCTTTCACTTAGCATAGAGTTTTTATGGTGCATCTGTATTGTTGGATGTATCAGTAGTTAGTTCATTCCTTTTTATTGCTGAGTAGTATTCCATTCTGTAGATGTAGAAAATTTTGTTTGTCCATTCACCTGAATGGGTTGTTTATAATTCTTAGCTATTACCAATAAATCTGTTATAAACATTCTTGTACACATGTTTGTATGGACATATTTTCCTTTTCTCTTGGGTAAAATACTTAGGAGTGGAATGGCTGCATCATATGTAGGTGTATGTTTAACTTTTTAAGAAACTGCCAAACTGGGGCGCCTGGGTGGCTCAGTCAGTTAAGCATCTGCCTTCAGCTCAGGTCATGATCCCGGGTCCTGGGCTCGAGCCCTGCTTTGTTGGGCTCCCTGCTCTGCAGGGAGTCTGCTTCTCCCTCTTCTTCTGCCCCTCCATCCTACTCATGGTCTCTTATCTCTCAAATAAAAAAATCTTTAAAAAAAAAAAGACCGCCAGGGGCGCCTGGGTGGCTCAGTCATTAAGCGCCTGCCTTCAGCTCAGGTCATGATCCCAGGGTCCTGGGATGGAGCCCCACATCGGGCTCCCTGCTCCGCAGGAAGCCTGCTTCTCCCTCTCCCACTCCCCCTGCATGTGTTCCTCCTCTTGCTGTATCTCTCTCTGTCAAATAAATAAAATATTAAAAAAAAACACACGCCAAATTGTTTTCCAAAGTGGCTGTACCATTTCATATTCCCATCAGCAATGTATGAAAGTTCGAGTTCCTCCACATCTCCATCAACACTTGATATGATCTGTCTTTTTTTATTTTAGCCACCGTAATAGAAATATGGTGCTGTCTCATTGTGGTTTTAATTTCTAGTTCCCTAATGACATTGAGTATGTTTTCATGTGCTTATTAGCCATTCATTTATTTCATTATTCAAAATATTAATTCAAATAAGCCCATTTTTAAAAAATTGAGTTATGAGATGCCCGGCTGGCTCAGTAGATGAAGCATGCAACTCTTGATTTCAGGTTTGGGAGTTCAAGTCCCACACTGGTCATAGGGCCTACTTAGATAGATAGATAGATAGATAGATAATAGATAAAAGAAAAAATTGAGTTGTCTTATTTTTTTAAAAGATTTTATTTATTTACTTATTTGAGAGAGAGACAGAGAGAGAGCACGGGGGTAGAGGCAGAGTGAGAGGGAGAAGCAGATTCCCTGCTAAGCACGGAACCCGACAAAGCAGGGCACAATCCCAGGACTCTGAGATCATGACCTGAGCCAGTCAGACACTTAACCAACTGAGCCACCCAGCTGCCCCTGAATTATCTTATTATTGAAGTATAAGTTCTTTATATATTTTGGATACAAGTCCTTTGTCAGATACAGAATTTGTAAATGTTTTCTCCTAGTTAATGGCTTGTCTTTTCATTTCCTAAGGGTGTTTGTGAAAAGCAAATGATTTTAATTTTGACGAGGTCCAATTTATCACTTTTATTTTTCTTTTATGGATCATGCTTTGTTAATTTTTGTATATGGTGTGAGGTAAGGGTCTAAAGTTGTTGTTGTTGTTGTTGTTATTTTGCAAGTAGATATCCAGTTGTCCCAGCACCATTTGTTGGAAAGGGTATCTTTTCCTCATTGAATTTCCATGGCACCTTTGTGAAAAATCAATTGACCGTAAATGTGTGAGTTTATATGGACTTGGTTCTGTTCCACTGACCTATGTGTCTATCCTATATCTGTCCCACATGGCCCTGATTACCGTAGCTCTGTATTACATTTTGAAATCAAGTAGTGTGTGTCCTCTAACTTTGTTCTTTTTCAAAATTTTGGCTCTCCTGGGTCCTTTGTATTTCCATATACATTTTAGGATCAGCTTATTGATTCCTATAAAAATAAGCCTCCTACATTTTTGATAAAGTTTGGGTTGAATCTACAGATCAATTTTGGGGAGATCTTCAAATCCTCAAAAGTTATTTACTGAGTACACATCAGCAAAGATGGGCAATTGAGATCATGAGAAAAGGAAAGTGACTGAAAGAAGGATAATCTTCACTGGGAAGTCCCTGGGTGAAGTGAGATAGAAGACTCCATGACAGGCCACATTCTTCTTCCCACTAGCAAATTTTGGAAAGGGGGGATGGTGGCCCAAAAGGAAATGAGTCAGCAGCAGCAATCAACTTGAAACCAAGGTTTTCAGACCTTCCTGGAACAAGAGCCTTTGTTCTAAGATTTCACTTGGTATTCCCTGAGAACATTATAAGGGCTCTGCCTTAGAGAAATAAATAATACCGTGGTTCCCTACCACAGGAGGTTGATCATTGACCCTATAGTTACCGTAGCATGGTCAAAGTGAGGCTCATAGTGACCACCAATTCCATAATTCACCACCTGGAGATACTCTGCGTAGGGAGTCTGGACATCAAGGCCTGTGAGGGCACCAATGCGATGGTCAAGGGTCACCAGCAGGGGGTCGACGGTGTCCTTCAGCCAGGCACTAAAACACACCACAGGTTGAGGCATCAATGATCTGATGCCAGAAATGACTATGTCTGTGAATGAATGAGTTCTATCAACTGCCAGAAGGAAGGAAGGCAGGAAGGAAGGAAGGCAGGCAGGCAGGCTGAAGAAACAGCATAAACACAGACATGGAGTTATAACAATATACAGTCTGTATAAGTGTGGGAGCATTTGGTCTATGAAAGAAGTAATGGGAGACAAGGATGGAAAAGTATATTCAGGACCTGTTGTAAAAAGCTGAGGACACCATGGTCATAAAACTGGTCTTTGTGGGTGGTAGATAGTCAGTGAAGGTTCATGGACCGGAAAGTGATTTGGTGACTAGGGGTTCACTGATGACCTTTGAAGGACCAGTTCCAGTGAAGTTGTGAGGACAGAACCAAAATTCAAAGGGATACAGAGTGATGGTAGGGAAAGAGGAGGCAGCGAGGGTCTCAGGTTCTTCACCTGAAAAGTAAAGAGAATACCACCTACTCCCTTAAAAGCAGTGAATCTAAGTAGAAGGTCAGATTTTTCTCTTTGACGCTACAATGTCAGAAAGGTTAGAAAAGCAATAAAGTGAGGCCATATGGACCTCCCAAAGTTTAGAGAGTAACTCCTAGTATGAAAGGTCCCTAAATGTACCAGACCAAAGAAGTTAAGGTTAAGCCCAGTGATTCTGAATCAAAGCTTTCATTATTCACCTCACTTCCCAGACAACAAAACTATCCACTCATCCTGAGGTCTGGCCTCTCCCCAAAGATGCTGTTGTCACCGTCTCCCATGGCTCTGATGGGGACTCCTCCTGTTACTCATCATAAGTCCTGTCTTTACAATACAATCAAGGACTGCAAGGGGGTGGGGGCAGAAATGGAGGGGAGAGGATAAAGCTGGGCTTTCACAGCTGAATCTGCCTCCCTAAAAGCCAGGTCCAGAGATTCCGGCCACCCTTCTTGCCTGAATGTTGGCACGTCATGCTTTGAATATGAGTCAGGAGGCTGGAATGGAACCTTATAAAGTCAAATTCCAAATGGGAACAGAACTGAATTCTCTGGAAAAGCAATCCTGGCTAGGAGAACATCTACACACCTAATTTCTAGTTCCCAGCATAAAAGCTTTGTTAAGTCTTTCCCTAAGGGCCTCCTAGATAAGTCCTCAGACCCTAGAATAACCTGTGAAAGGGCCTTGGGGGAGGGGAGTGGAAATTTCTCCCTCTCAACAAGAATGTACAGATATAAACATGAACTATGGATTCTCTAGCAGCATCTCTGGATGGCTGTTGCTGACCTTCAGTCAGCTGTGCCACAGGCCCAAGGGCAGGCAGCAAGTATGACCAGAGCCCCTGCCAAGGAAGGATGCCTCATACCTTTTGCTGATTCGGTACTCCACTGGCAACTGCTTCTCCCCGGATGCCACCACAGACCTCTGTAGCTGATGTGGAGGACGTAAGAGAAAGTAGGTATCAAGGACGGTGTGAAGGGAAGGACTCTGTCATTTCCATAGACATGCCCCTCTCTTCAAAGGAAACCTAACAATCGCCAGTTCCTCCCTAATTTCAAATATTTTGCACATGCTGTGAATTTAGTGATAGCTATCAATCTCAAAAACAAAAGATAATAAGTGACCAAAAAATCTGAGTCGAAAATAACCTTTAGCGGCATGTCTGGTAGACAGTAAGCACCCAGTAAAAGCTTGCTGAACTGAAATAAAGTGATATTTGAATCCCTTCTGCATCTGAGACTGTGAGTTCTGTCAGAACAGGTGCTGTTTCTCACTCATCTTTGTATCCTAGTGGCACAGGGCCTGGCCTACAGTAAGCACTTAGTATTTGTCATATTAAATGAACACCTCCAACGAGGAAACTCTCCACCCTCAGAGGTAGCCCACTCCCCTGAACAATTCCGACAAAGCCATTCCTTATTAAGAATCAAAATCTGGGGGCACCTGGGTGGCTCAGTCGGTTAAGCGGCTGCCTTGGACTCAGGTCATGATCCCAGAGTCCTGGGATCGAGCCCCGCATCGAGCCCACATCGGGCTCCCTGCTCAGAGGGAAGCCTGCTTCTCCCTCTCCCACTCCCCCTGCTTGTGTTCCTTCTCTCGCTGTCTCTCTCTCTGTCAAATAAATAAATAAAATCTTAAAAAAAAAAAAAAAGAATCAAAATCTGTTTTGCTGCAACTGCCTTCATTATTTGGGGAAAAAATCCCAAACAGGTTCAATGTCACTAATTTAACTAAATGTTTCTATTTTGTTCTGAATGTCTAGATATGAATTTTAAATTCTTTTTAAATAAAGTGGCTTCTAACCGCAAAAGCACTGTACCAGGGACAGAAAGAGAAAGATTTACATAAGGATGTGTCTACTTCTGTATCTGTCATCAGAATGTCAACTCCATAAGGGCAAGTCTTTTGTCAGTGTCCCTAGAGTCCAGAGAAGGCCTGGAAGGGAGTAGGTGCTCAATATTGGTGAAAGGAACAAATGAATGAATGAATGAATGAACCAGAGTCCTGTGCTTAATGATCCAGCCCTGGCACTTCACATGCAGTCAGAGCAGAGCACGGGGCAATGAACTGCACAAGACACACACCCTCTCCCTTCTTGGAGGCTTCTGTAGTATTATTATTCCTGCTGCTAAACCAGGAAGACAACTTTGGAAAAGTCTTTTTGTTTCCTTGAACCCGTTTCCTCAGCTATAAAATGCAGTATGTGAACAACGCCTTCTTGGGAGTTCCTTCCAGCCTATCCTTCTATGGTATCAGGATGCAGGGCATCAGTAGGTGACTGATAATGCCTCTGTCTAGTCCTTCACCCAGCATCCTCCCCTGGGCTCCTGGTAGAGGAGAGAGGAGAGATTCTTAGAGGAGTTGCTGCCTTATGTTCTTCTAGGGTAACATCACTGATTTAAAGAAAAATACTAGGGAATCTCCATTCCATCCCTGTCCCCAGTAAGGAGCCACCTTGCACTTAATTCCTTTAACAATTATTTATTGTACACCAGCAAGTCGTTCACTTTTGGGGACAAATATTTATTGGTTGTTCTCTGTGCTGAGTAACACGCTAGGCATTGGAAATACAGCATATGGAGCAGACGTAAGTCATGCAACGGGGCCATAATGGACAAGTACAGGGCACTAAGAGAATATTAAGAAGGATCATCTAGTCCCTTATGAGGGACAGGAAGTCTTCCCAGGATACCCAAAAGACAACTGGAATCATACAGGTGAAAAGAGGCCAAGGAGAGAGTGACTTAGAGAGAAGAGTGTGTGTGCAGAGGTTAGGGGGAGCATGGCCCGTTCGCTGAGATGCAAGTTGTTTAGTGTGGCTGGGGCGTCAAGTGCAAGGGGCACATGCTGTGGAGGGGTCAGCAGTAGCAGGCCAAGGAGCTTTATAACATTCAAGTGACCCATTCAAGAGTTTAAAGCAAGGGCTTACGTGGTCAGATGCAACCTTTTAAAAAGTAGCCTGGCTGCAATGGGCATAATGCAGGGCTAGGCATTTCAAGGACGACCTATGATCCCTACTAGATTATAGTCTAGTTGAGGAGACAGGATGCTAACCCCCGAAACAACTAGTGATACTAGACAACACAAAAATGGCAGAATAAATGAAAAAAAAATCAAATACAGACAACTGGTGACAAAAAGCTTTGAGTTCAAAAGAGAGAGAGGTTCTTGTATGTGGCCCCAAAAAGTGCTCTGAAGAAAATGTTCCTACTGAAAGAACGCACGAAAGTGGAGAGTGACAGGGCTAGTGGGCAAAGGGAGGCATGAGGCTTCCAGAGTCTTCATGAATGGGTAAGGATGTGGATGGAAGGTCAAGTGACAAGAGAGCAGTGTTTGGGTTGGGACGCAGATGAAGTAAATTCAAGCCTCAGGAGAGGCTTCAGTGGCTTGGGTTGAATTTAGTTTCCATGCGGCTGCCCCACCTTATAAGCCGAGGCTTATTCCCGGCGGAGCCTAAGACCAGACAGGAATCGGCGCCTCCACATCAGCCTCTGGGAAGAGGGAGAGTGGCGAAGTCTTTGCCTGCCAAATAGCCGACCTGGCCGGGCCGGACTGCTGGGTGGGCTGCGTGTCCTGCTACCGCGACAGCCCAGTCGTTCTAAGGAAAAAGCACCTGCTGGCCAGATACTGCCGCTGGCTCACAGATGCGGAAGCTATTGAAGATACTTTGTTCCAACTGACGGGGGGAGCTTAATGCTCTCAAAAATTGCACAGATTCCAGACTTCACCGGAGGGGCTCCCGGATGAGATGACTTTTGCTACTCTTATCCCTCCGATCCATGTCTGCTAGTCAGAATCTTCCTTAAAATCAACAGGTCTGATCATGCCAATCTCCTGTTTAAACAGGAGTCCAAGAGCTCCCCACCCCCGCCCCGGCCTCTGGGATCAAACCCAAGCTCCCCAGCACGGTATCTACGGCATTTCCTGAGGGCGTCTCACCGTCTGGCCTCATCTCTGATCACCTCCTAGCCCATCCCTTGCACGCTTGCGCCAGCACGCTCCACCCCATTCTCTGAACACACCGCCTGCGGGGTCCTTGCACGTACTGTTTCGTCTTCCTGCCATACCCTTGGCCACCTTGTTACTCTGATGAATTTCACACCCACAGGGACACCTCCTCTGTTTTCCCCTCCTCTCGTCACCCATCTGCCTTTCCCTCACAGGAAGTCTCACTTTTGGATGCCGCCGTGGCACGGTGCCCTGCACAGTGTAGTATACATACCCGTTCTCCCCTGTTACGCTGTGAGCTCCTAAAGGGAAAGGGCCAATGCCAAATCTGCGAATGTCCCACCCCCGGTACAGCGTCTGGTGCACAGCAGCCTTGGTTCCATTGATAAGTGGCCCAACGACCACCTGGATGAACAGGGCACCATCGAGGGCACGCACGATGACATAAGGAATTCTGAGACAGCCATTTAAAGAGGCAGCAAGCTTATAACGATGAGGTAGGCTGTGTTATTTTTCTCAATATTTGCCACCCTTCCTGGGGGAGGATTAAATGTCCTCTCCCGCTTGACATCAAGGTCGGCGCCACGGCTGGGAGAGCCCTCCCTGCAGGAGCATTAGACACACTCTCCCTGTTGACTGCGCTGGTGGCCCCATGGGGCCATGGATGGCCTCAACCAATGAAACAGGGGCAGAAGCAGGACCTTTAGGAGCCAGCTAGCAGTTGGCCATCTCTGTCTTTTCTGTCTCCTGTGACAGACGTAGGCGGCTCTGTCAGGCTGGGTCTCCAAGTGAAAACAGTTCTGCCCCCCAAGGGCAGCCAGCCAAGACAGGCACGTGGTGTAAGTAAGAAACAAACCTTTGTTGTTGTTGTGTTTGAGACTCGGGGGCTGTTTGTTACTGACCATAATCTAGCCTACGTGAGCGGCCACAAGAAGGCAGAAGAACAGAACAGCCATTGACAGACCGCTGAGTTCCAGGTCTGGCTACAGCTACGCACCTGACCTTCATCAGGTCCCTTCCCCTCTCTGGGCCTCTGTTTCCTCTTTAACAAAATAATCTAGTTAAACTAGATAATCTTTCCACTCGGTAATCCTGTAAATCTGCACTAGAATATCACTCCTTGTCCATCATTTCACTCTTCAAAAAAAAAAAAAAAATTCTACCCATTATGTGGAATGACTGACATTGGGGAGGAGGGGGTCCTTTTGATTTTTTTAGGTTAAATTTACATATAATAATATGCACAGATCTCAAGTGTACGATTTGCTGAATTTTCACAAATGCACACAGCTGTGTACTCCACGTCCCTAAAACAAGATATTGAGAGCACATTTTCAATACCCCAGAAAATGCCCTTGTCCCCTTCCCCAGCCAATCCCCTCCCTCCAAAAGCAATGATTACTGTGATTTTTTTTTTTTTTACCATTGATTCGTTTTATGGAATGGTTAGCATTTTTAATTCCTGGACTGATAAAGTGTATAGTTGTTCAGGCTGCCTGTTCTCACATTCCTGAACCCCAGGCATGTGATGACACAAAGAGAAGTTTTGGCAGGCTTTGGGGACACTCACCCACGGTTCTGCAAGCCCTCTAATTTTCTGAGCCTCCACGTCACTGACAAAGTCATGGTAGAGAACAACATAGGGCTCCAGGTGGATGACCTCCTTCCGGACAGGCTGGAGCAGCAGGTAGGGGCTCGAATTTGTCTCATACGAACAGTAGAGGCTAGGGATCTGGTAGTGAGTAGGCTGGAAGAAAAGCCTAGAATCAGCATGAGAGATGAAGGGTCTAGGAGCAGAAGCCAGTGTAGGGAACCACGGCATAAAAAAACTGGCATGTGGGCGATTAAGAATGCGGTCACTCTGATGCTGTCCAAATGAGCTTTATGTTTCTAACGCATCACCCTTTTCCCCTCACATCGTTCCAACACAACCTTCTCTTTCTCTAGCTAAGCCTGTTCGCCCTTTCTCTTTCCCTGAGGAATCCTACCTGGGATCCCAGGGTCTGACATAACCCCTCGTAGATGTCTCTGGTCTGCAGGTGGGGTACATTGGGCCTCTGGATGACAGCCTCAGCTACCACCTGGTTGGGGCTCTCTGCCAAAAGCTTTTCATATTTCAACACATTCCTGGCCATCCTCTTATTATCTGGGCCTGGAAGAAATCAGAGCAGGGAATAATACAGATTACCAAACAATGGTCTCAGTTTTCTCAAGTTTTCCTGTAGCTTCCTGGCCACACACGACCAGCCACTGGACACCATGAAAAGCTGCCATGTCCATACACAGGAGGATGGTAAGGCCCTCACTCCCAGACGAGTACCTGGTATTAAAAAAGACTGAGTTAGGCCCAGTAGATCTGAGGGTGCAAAGGACTTTGGGAAGGAAAGTGGTGCTGAACACTGTTAGACCAAGGGATGATAAGGATGGCAGCTCTAGGGTACCGTGATGGTAAGTTTCATGTATCGGGAAGAAGCTTCACTCCTTCCTTCCTTCCTTCCTTCCTTCACTCCTTCCTTCCTTCGTGCCTGCCTGCCTGCCTGCCTTCATTTACCCATTCAGTAAATCTTCAGGGAATATCCACCATGCACTGGATACTGTGCTAGAGGCTAACCTCCCAGAGTTTAGAGCCTAATGGAGAAAAGCTACATTAAATAACTACTCACAATGAAACCCGTAAATGCTATGAAAGAGAAGTCCAGAGAGCCAAAGCCTATAGCAGAGAGACCCAACCTATTCTTCCCTGGAGCAGTGAAAGCTAATCCATTCCCCAATCTACGAGATCCTTCAAAATCCCTAACTGGCCTACATACAGAGCAGTGCGGTATGAGACGGAGGGGTTCTAGACTTTGGTCTAGCCCGGGTTCCCACAGAGGTCTTGTGTCTTATCCGTGCCCACCTGTAGGCACCCACTGTGGCTGTAAGATGCCCCTCGGTTAGCAGCTCCCCATGGCCTGCTAGCCTCTGTCCTGAGCTTCAGTGCCTCTCAGAAGGACATGCTGGATTGTTCTAATGCTCCCAAAGCATCTTTCTCTGAGGAGCTCAGTGTATCTCTAGCCGCCACCACCACCACCACCACCACCACCCTGGCAAAAGAGCGGACGGACAGAAGTTACCATCCTTTTTGTAACAAGAGGCAAAATGAAGTTTGGGAGAATAGAAGCAATGAGCCCAAAACCCCAGTGAAAATACTGCAGAGCCAGAAATGGAACTGGCAATCCCAATTTGCTGTGTCCACTCCACCTACAACCGTGCGTGGTTTGGGTTCTCCGGGACAGGCAGAGATTTTAACAGAGCAAACACGAAGAAAGAGAAAAGGGTTGGGTTATCATTTTGCCTGTAGTAATTGCCCACATGTTTCCAGACCATATGGCTACTTCTACATCCTACTGTTTGCCCAATTATCAGACTGGAATAATGTTACTAAATGGATTCAGTAAAAAGCAATACAACTGTGAAGTCCTCTGTGAAATACTTTATAAATATTAAAATATCATAGTGATTATTTACTTACTTTGGTATCTTGGTATCTTATTAAAGGAAAACCTGGGAAGTCAGCTTCCACCAAAATTTTCACTAAAAATATCCAAGCAGAGAGCTAGGCTCGGAAATCTCCCTCCCATTTAACCGTGGTGACGTGCCCTGGGGGGAGTGTCGAAGCTGAACCCCCCGCACTAGCTGAGCAGGGTGCTTGACGGCCACGTGAGCTCTGGTTTAAAGGGAAGAGCTGCCATCTCTGTGGAAACAGCCGAAATCAGTCATCCCACAGAACCACTCTCCTTGCATGCACAGCTCTCACTGGTCTCGTTTGCCACACACACACCCTCCTCCCCTGGTCCTGGCCTTGTTCCCGTCTGGGAGTGGAAGAGCAAAGGGACATGTTGATGCCTTCTTAGCATTTTCCCACAGACCAAAAAGCTTCCCCCTGATGCACTGATCAATAGCTAAGTAAGATTCGATCCAAAATTAGAAATGTGGCTTGGATTATAAAATTAGAGAAATAAAAACACATGGCTGTCTCGTCCTTGCAGGGATTAAGGGCCGGGAGCAGAAGGGATTTCCCAGTAAATCAGCGCTGTGGCTCATTCATCTTCCATCATTACATACTGTAGAGGAGAAACTCTCGGGAGAGGCTGAGGGCGCACGAAACATTGCCAGCCTATAAAACAAAAAGAAAGAAAGGAAAGGAGTTAACTACACTGAGGATATTTCCTTTGACCAAATCATTAAGTGGATTAAAACAAAAAACAAAAAACAAAAAACTATAAAATACTCTTACCACCAGGAGACAATAAGACTCATTGAAATGAGCAGCAGACTAGAAATGTAGAAGTTCTCGGTCCTAATTCAGGATTTGCAGCCCTAATGCAACTCAGGTCTCCTCAGTGTCCTCATTTACAAATGACTCATTCCCACCCTTACCAGCAGGGAAGGTAGAAAAATAAATGAAAATAAACTTTCTTAAAGTGCCCTCAAATCTTAAAGCATGCAAAACCACATAACTGCAGGGTGTTGTTATTTTGGTATACTTCATTATTAAGCTTAACAGGGAACTATAAAAACCCTAGTAAAAATACAATTTGTTCTCCAGGCTCAGTCCTTCCTAGAGTCGACAAAGGTAGTGGGAGGAAGGCAAAGGACGAACCAGACCTGAAACATTCCCACTGCATAGTAATGACCTCTCCCTGCCACCACCATTTGACCTTGAGCTACACGAGCTCAGAAGTACACAGGGGCTTTCCAGACAAACTGAGGAGCAGAACCCAGTGTAGGTGGGCTGCCATCCTAACCTGGGCGCCCAGGAATGATGAACTGATAGAATTGTATTTCCTTCTGGCCATGTCATTTTTGCATGTTAAAAATTCATGTTTAAGGATAAAAGCAACAAGAAGCACACTACGAAACACGAGAAACAGGAAAAAGAAATGCTCTGCTGAAACTCAGGGGCTCCAAGCACTTCAGATGACTGAGAGTGTACACAGTTAACAGGCATATTTGTTATACATTTCCATATCCTGACTGTTTCACTCTACATTGTTGCAGGTGGACTTTTTTTTATCACTTCATAGTCTTCAGAGAGGGCATATTTTAACTGTGGTAAAAAACACACAACATAGGGGTGCCTGGGTGGCACAATCGGTTAGGTGTCCAACTCATGGTTCTGCTCAGGTCGTGATCTCATGGTTGAGAGATTGAGCCCTGCATGGGGCTCCACACTCAGCATGGAATTTGCTTGAGATTCTCTCCATCTCTCTCTGCCCCTCTGTGCTCTCTTCCTCTCTCTCTCTCAAATGTACACATAGATCTTTAAAAAAAAAAAAAAAACCATAACATAAATTTACCATCTTAGGGCGCCTGGGTGGCTCAGTTGTTTAAGCGACTGCCTTTGGCTCAGGTCATGATCCTGGAGTCCCGGGATCAAGTCCCGCATCAGGCTCCTTGCTCAGTGGGGAGTCTGCTTCTCCCTCTGACCCTCCCCCCTCTCGTGCTCTATCTCATTCTCTCTCTCAAATAAATAAAATCTTAAAAAAAAAAAAAAGATTCTCTCAACCTTTTAAAAAAATTTTACCATCTTAACCATTTCTAAGTGTACAGTTCAGTAATGTTAACTATATTCACATTGTTGTGCAGCCAATCCCAAGAATTTTTCCATCTTGCAAATCTGAAACTCTGTACCCAACAAACAACTCTCAATTGCCCCCTTCCTTCAGCCCCTAGCAACCATCATTCTACTTTCTGTCTCTATAAATTTGATTCCTCTAGGTACTTCATATAAGTGCAATCATACAGTATTTGTCTTTTTATGACTGGCTTATTTTATTTAGCATAATGTCCTCAAGGTTCATCTATGTTGTAGCATGTATCAGAATTGCCTTTTCTTTTTAAGATTTTATTTATTTATTTATTTATTTGAGAGAGAGAGTGCATAGAGGGAGAGGGAGAAGGAGAAGACCCCAACACGGGGCTCAATCCCAGAACCCCAAGACCATGACCTGAGCCAAAGACAGATGCTTAACTGACTGAGCCACCCAGGCGCCCCTAGAACTTCCTTCCTTTTTAAGGCTGATTATTAGTCCCTTGTATGTATAGACCATATTCGGTTTATCCATTCATCCCTCAGTGGACACTGGGGTTGCTTTCACCTCTTGGCTGCTGTGAATAGTGCTGCTATGAAGGTGGATATGCAAGAGAAAGAACATTTTTAATAGCCGCATTTCATTCCACCTAGAAGCTACATCACAGATGACCTGGACATAGATTGTTTGCACTTATTTAATACCATTAGTTATTCTGTTCCACACTTAACAGAGGGATAGTTAAGTACTGTATTGATATCTTAAAATGTCAGATTATGAACTCAAGGTTATAGCTTTTCAAACTCTTCTGAGATGAAGAGAACTAAAATACAACTTTACATATTTTTAAAACTCAAGGGCTCTTTCATGAGATAAAATTATATTTTATCAAGAACAAAGTTACTTTTGGGGCGCCGGGGTGACTCGGTTGGTTAAGCGTCTGCCCTCGGCTCAGGTCATGATCCCAGGGTCCTGGGATCGAACCCCACATTGGGCTCCCTTCTCAGTGGGGAGTCTGCTTCTCCCTCTCCCTCTCCCTCTGTCCCTCCACCTGCTCTCTCTCTCTCTCTCTCTCAAATAAATGAATAAAATCTTTAAAAAAAAAAAGAACAAAGTTACTTTTGCTGTCCCAGTTAAATTTCTTTGGAAATATGTACACTAAATAATGTTACATGAAAAAGGTGCACCTACGCCTGTAGTGTATAATATAATAATAGCTTACATTTGTTGAGTGCACATGTCATGAATGGTGTTAAGGGCTTTACATGTATTAGCTCATTTAATCCTCTCGACAACCCTTTGAGGTGATCATTGAAGGGGAGCAGAATAGGCCACCCCAAAATATGCCTCTTTGGCACAAGGATTTCGAGCTAATTATTTTGAGAAATGGCAGACATGGGAGAAGCTTTGAAAACCAGAGAAGTTACCCTTTTGTGATAGAAATTTACATTTATAAGGGAACCCTCCATTTGTAGGAGTGTCTCCCTCCATGTACCTGGAAAAGAAGGATGACTCTGAATCACAAGAGAATCTTTTTTTTTAAGGTATATTTATTTATTTTAGAGAGAGAGAGTGTGCGCACGCATGTGGGAGAGAGAGGGGCAGAGGGAGGTGGAGAGAGAGTCTCAAGCAGACTCCACGCCCAGCATGGAGCCCAACACAGGGCTTGATCTCATGACCCTGAGATCACTACCTGAGCTGAAACCAAGAGTCAGCCTCACTACACCACCCAGGTGCCCCTTGGATCACAGGAGAATCATATCGATGGAGAAAGCTCACTTAAATCTGCATAACAACCTTGTTTGCATTTCCTGGTCACCCCCCCAAAATTGGCCTCCCCGCACACCTTTCTTTCTATTGTCTTTAGCTGGAAATGGTATTTAAGGTGGCGGCTTAGGACACTTCCAAGAGTTCCTCATTGCCCGGCCCCATCTCCCATGTATACAGGAGGTATGCGTGTAATAAACTTCAGTTTATTTTTCCTCTTCTTAATCTGTTTTTTATTTACAGGGAGGTCTCAGCCAAGAACTCAGAAGATTTGAGAATTATCTCCCTTCCTCCCCCCACTTCCTAACAACATCATTATTATTCCCCTTTTAAAGATAATAAAATTGAGGGGTGCCTGGGTGGCTCAGTTGGTTAAGCGACTGCCTTCGGCTCAGGTCATTGATCCTGGAGTCCCGGGATCGAGTCCCACATCGGGCTCCCTGCTCAGCAGGGAGTCTGCTTCTCCCTCTGACCCTCTTCCCTCTCATGCTCTCTATCTCTCATTCTCTCTCTCTCAAATAAATAAATAAAATCTTTAAAAAAAAATAAAGATAATAAAATTGAGGTCCATGGATGTTAAGTAATGCCCAAATTGTCACAGAATTTGAACCCAGGTCAGTCTGACTTCAGAGCCTGTGGTTTAATCACTGCACAACTGTCTTTTGTTAACAATGACTGAAATAATTTTTTACTAAAATATATCATAAAAAACTATTATATAATATACAGTATTATATATTACATGCTATTATATATCACATATTTTAATATTTTCATGGCATAAATAATGATATATATCATATATTGTATATGATAATAAAAGGTCCATGGGGGGACATCTATCCCGAATTTACAAGGGTTAAAAAGGGGACCACAACTGTCTATGAGACAATGCCTGATGTGTTCTAGTACTGTCATGTAAAAAAAAATGTGCTGTAAGAGCACAAAGAAGGAGTCTGAGAAGTCTGAGGAGAATACAGGAAGGCTTCACAAAGTAGGTGACATTTGAGCTATGCCTTGTGAGATGAATAAAATTTACCAGACAAAGCACAATTGTGGAAAGGGAGAGTCTACCAGTGAGCAGAGGAGAAACCTAAGTCATCACAGGGGAAAAAAGCCAAAACCCATACTCAGGTGCCGCATTTAAAAATCTCTCTCAGGGTAAGCTGCTTTAGTTTATCTTCTCCTAGTCTCCATGTCAATCCTTCATTTTCTTCCTCTATTAAAATTCAATTTCATCTCGCCCTTTGTTGTGCCACAGTGATTCTATTTCAGCTTTAATATGGAGCAATTGAGCAGGCGCATTAGGAAGAGCACCCTGGAAAGTTTTACAACAAAGACCCACTTACCATGAGGGAAACAGGCCCATTTGCTACTTTGGGAATAAATCTGTTTTGGCAGCAACATGTGAGTTTGGACCACCCACGTCCTCCTCCCTTTTCGCAGGAAAAGGGGGAAAGAGAAAGGAATGTAGGGAGCAGAAATGGTTTATTAGCTTTGGAAACTCTAAGGAACTGGCTCGGTAAGCTATATTTCCAGTCTATTCTTGAAGACGATACAATTCTGGTGGGAAATGGATTAGCTATACAAAAGGATGGCAGATCCCCTATTTAGGGAAATGAGCTTCCACGAGTGGATCTACAACAGCTCATAGGTCAAGTGCCAAGAAAAAGCAACCCCTGGAGGAGGAGGCACTTAGCTGTACTACGGCCCAGCGACACCAGCTTGATAGCCAGACACTAGTCATAGTTACAGTTGGACCCAGTTGCAGATGGGAGAGGATAATGTCAGGGAGGAGGAGCTTCCTCTGCCCTATAGTCCTTCTAGATGGACATAAAATTAAATTGACACGAGACAGATTAACAGGAGAAAATCAAATTTCGTAGGCATATGTACGGGGAATCCACACAAACACAAAAGTCCAAAGACGATGAGGCAATGTGAAGCTTCAATAAGCTAAGGAGAGGGGTAGAGTCAGAGGACACAAAGGGGAGAAAGCTCATCGGCAAGAAAGTGAAAGGAGATGTCTGGAAAAACATGGTTACCCTATTATGCAGATAAGTTCCTTAGGTAAAGGGGAGTCTCTGTTAATAGCTCTCTTCCTGTTACAGGCTCTCCTTTCCAACACAAACTTCGGCAGTTGCAGGGAGGTAGAAAGATTTTCCTGCATCTGCTGGGTTTTGATTACTTTTAACTAAAAGTAATTTTTATGCCAAAGTGCCCATCTTGGGACAGCCTGCCCAGGGCCCCTACAATAACAATCAAACTTCTTCCTTGAATATTGGCAATATCACGACAGAACATCTGTGAAGAGATAGGAGTTGCTGACAGTACAAAAGAGTGATCTACATTGACTCTGAACCCCTTAGACATCTGTCAAGGCAGCTGCTGCATTACAGATGGGAGCCTGCCTCCTACGTGGAAGACGATGGTTTTCAAAGAAGTCAAGGTGCTGGAAAGAGCACCGGACTAAGAGTCAGACAGACTTGGGCGCTAATTCCAGCTCTTCGAACTTCGTGACAAATTAGGAATTTTTTGGAGATTTAGTTTACTCACATGTGAAATATGGAAATAATAAAACAACTGCCCTGCTTGACTCACATTTGATCCTGTTGGGAAGATGAAATAAATTGAGAGACATGAAAATGTGTAGAAAATTGTCAAGCAGATATAAAGCACTATATTTATTGTGATAAAAGTAGTGAGCCTCACTTACTCCCCTACCTGGAAGTAGGCAAAGGCCAAGTGATCCAAGGCATCCTCTAGACTTGCCTCATCCTCTGTCTTCCATTCTCCATAAGATCCTCGGAAGAGACTGACAGCCTCCTCCAGCCATGGAATGGCATGGTAGTAATCCCCCATGTCATAGGCCACCTGTAGGTAACAAAAGTACCATCATTAAGCCTGAATCCACAGGTAGAGGAGAGAAAATGTCAAAGAGTGAGAGGGCTGATGGAACATAAGAAGGCAAGTTTTCATCTCAAATTCATTTAAATCCAATTTATCAAGCATCCATTATATCCAATGCATTGTTCTAGATGTAGAGAAGACACAAGGGTTCTTGCATTTAAGGAATTCATAATCTGGGGAGAAGAAAGATAGGAACTCAATTAACTGTAATACTGGGCAGAATGCATGAATACTCAAAAGAAATACGCATAATATGTCATGGAGGCAGAGAAGGGAGAGACTTGGGAATCTCAGAAGGCTTCATGGAAGAAGTGACATCTGAGGTAGGCGTCCCCTGAAGAAAGAAAAGGATTTCAATTAGTAGAGATTGAGAGGAAGAACATTTCAAAGTGATGGAATGGCAGAAACAGAAGCCAAAAGCAAGCTTGTGTTCAAGTTGGACATTGTGGTTATAGCCTAAGGTGAAGAGAAGCAGGAAATGAACTTCAAAAGGTAGCAAGGGCTAAGCTAATAAGAGTTGTGAGTGTCGTGTTTTTAAGAAGATACTGCCAGTAGCACTGTGAGAAATGGACTGAATTCATTCATTTATTTATTCAATATTTACTGAGTATTTGCAATGTACCTGATGATCCCTGACCTTAAAGAGCTTACAGTCATATGAGGGGCATAGGAGTAAATCAATAACTGCAACACAATATATTAGACCCACATGGGAATGCTTGAAGAGTTCAGTGACTTTTTTTCTATATTAAATGTTGGAAGGCAGGAATATGGCAACGTGTACTAGACCTTGCTCCTGTCTCCTAACAGCTTACAGTTAACTAGAATACCAGCACTGCAGGTGGAATTTCCTGGAAGTTGATGTTGGAGACAGCATGGAATTATAAAATCACAGAGTTGGAAGCACTCTTACAAAACATTCTAAATCTGCTCTAACTTCCAGGCCAGCAGAAAGACAGGGCAGAACCTTAGAGGCACTGAAACTGCAGTCTAAACAGTAAATCAGCTGCTCTTCCAGGTCTGCCATTCATCTGCCATGTTATTTCTCTGATCCTCAGGTTTCCTTTTTGTAAAAAGGTTGAGTTGAAAAATAACAATCAAAATGACTCAACTTTTTCTGCTAGTTAACAATCTGTTAAGTTTTCCCAAGTCCCAAAAATATGGTAGATTGAGATAACGAATCCTTCCAAACAAAGACTTGGAACTTTTGAATAAAATATAATAAATATTTTATGATATATTTTCAAGAAAGAATGGAAAATACCCAGGTACCAGAAAAAAAAAAAGGAGCTAAAAAGCCGAGCAATAAGCTTAAGAGCAGATGCTGAAGCTGCTTAGGATGGGGGCGGGTGTTAACCTTAGTAATCTTGGTACTTAGCAACCTTTGGTTATAATGCCCGCATGAGGACAGAATATGAGCTCTCCTTAGGCCTCCCAAAACCTAGGAATTGGAACAAAGACACACTCATAAAACTGAAATCCATGAAAAAACTATACCTTAAAGAAAAGGGTGGACCAGAAAAAATCTACCCACTGTCGCAAAGAGTCAAGAAAGTTGGTTTGTTTCTGTCTGGATATTGTTTAGGGGAAACAAAATAACTCCGTAGAATATTCACAATCTTGGGGCGCCTGGGTGGCTCAGTCATTAAGCGTCTGCCTTTGGCTCAGGTCATGATCCCAGGGTCCTGGGATCGAGCCCCGCATCGGGCTCCCTGCTCGGTGGGAAGCCTGCTTCTCTCTCTCCCACTCCCCCTGCTTGTGTTCCTGCTCTCGCTGTCTCTCTCTGTCAAATAAATAAAAAAAAAAATCTTAAAAAAAAAAGAATATTCACAATCTTGAGCCTAGGCTTCCCATGAGTTTAAGGTTTGAATTTGCATTCTTCATATAGCTAAGGAAACTCCAAGCCAAAAAATCAACATAATAATGGATCTAAGGTCAGTGCAAATCAAAACCACAATGATATATATCACCTCTTGCCTGTTAGAGTGGCTATTATCAAAGGACAAGAAATAGTGCTGGCAAGAAAGAGAAAGAGTGCTGTGCACTGTTGGCGGGAATGTAAATTGGTGCGGCCAATGTGGAAAGTAATTATGGAGGTTCCTCAAAAAAATAAAAAATAGAACTACCCTTTGATCTACCAATTCCAGTTCTGGTATTTATCTAAATAAAATGAAAACATTAACTCAAAAAGATATATGCACCCCCATGTTCATTGCCAGCATTATTTCCAACAGCCAAGATATGGAAACAACCTAAGTGTCCATTGATGGATGAATGGATAAAGAAAATGTGATACACACACACACACACACACACACACACACACACACACAATGGAATATTATTCAGCCATAAAAGAGAAGGAAAGCTTGGAAAGCTTGCCATTTGCAACAACATGGATGGACCTTGAGGGCATTATGCTAAGCGAAGTAAGTTAGACAAAGAAAGTCAAATACCATACAATCTCACTTATATGTTGAATATAAAACAAAAACAAACAATAATAATAAAAACCCGAGCCTATAGATACAGAGAACAGATTGGTTGCCAGAGGTGGGAAGTAGGGGATGAGTGAAATGGGTGAAGGGAGTCAAAAGGCATAAACTTCCAGTTATAAAATAAATAAATCATGCAGATGTAATGTACTCAAAAAAAGTATCTAAGGCCAGTGATACCACCAGAGTGGAATGATATTCCCACAACCCTAGTCACAGAGATTCTTTTAGAGGGGAAAAAAGTCCACTAAAAATAAGCTCACAAACATAATAAACCGTATCAGGAAATAATCAACCATGAGCAAGAGTCAATAGACATGACAGTAGGGTAGTACAATTAGACAACTAGGAATTTCAGAAACTAGAAAGGCTGATCTGCTTTAAAATAATCCATGGAGGAGAAAATTGGAGACATGTAGATGAAATAAATTTGGCCACATGTTAATAATTATTGAAGCTTCTTCTTTGACCCAGCAATACCACTCCCAGGTATTTATTCAAGAGAAATAAAAACAACTGTCCACAGAAAGACTTACACAAGAATTTTTTTTAATAGGTTTTTTTTTAAAGATTTAATTTATTCATTTCACAGAGAGAGACAGCGAGAGAGGGAACACAAGCAGGGGGAGTGGGAGAGGGAGAAGCAGGCTTCCCACTGAGCAGGGAGCCTGATGTGGGGCTCGATCCCAGGACCCTGGGATCATGACCTGAGCCGAAGGCAGACGCCTAACGACCGAGCCACCCAGGCGCTCCTACACAAGAATGTTAATAGCAGCTTTATTCACAGTAGCCCAGGCTGGAAACAATCCAAGTATCCATCACTAGGAGACTGGATAAACAGTATATTCATACAATGGAATACTACTCAGCAATAAAAAGGAATGAATTATTAATAAATGCAACAAGGTGGGTAAATTTCACGGATCCAGTGTGCCGAAAGAAGCTGGACTCAGGATAGTACACACATATTGTATGGCTCAGGACAGTTCCTGGGCACCCAGGCAAGGGTAGAGTAGAAGGAAGGGGTCGGGAGAGTGGTGAGAAGAAAGAGGAAGGGGTCTTTATTGAGCTATATGTAAATTCATTTTTTAATATTAACTTTAATGCCTTCTGTTTTATGTAAATTCCTTTTTAAAAATCTGAAATGAATGTTGCAAAATTTTAACCTATTTCATCTCAATTATGGATATAATTGCTTGTTATATTATTTTTTGTAGTTTTCTTATATTTGAAATGTTTTATCTTTTAAAATAAGTAAATAAATACAGAAATAAAGATTGCGAGTGAGGCTTTCAGGAAGGGACTTACTGAATTTTCAACATACGGTTTTAGTTTCAGAAAGGCCTCATGAATGAAGCATATATTGGTACCATACACAGAACTATTTTACCTGGCTGAAATTTAAATTAGTCATGAACATGATGATTGAGCTCTGATTCCATTCAGGATCTTAGAGAAGGAAGAATGGTACATAGAGAGGCTTAGGACAACCCACCCTGCACTAATTTGGAAGACTGGTCCCTAAAACTTGAGGCCCACATCAGGGCACTTGAGGCCCACATCAGGGCACATGAGGCCCACTCTCACTCAGATCTGCTAATGAATACTGCAAGGGCTGGGAAAATTCACTTTCCTGCAATACACATCTTCAAAATTAAAAAGGATTTACTCCATTACTTCTTATGGCAAAGGCTAACAAAGAGTATACTGTAAAGTGACCTCAAGTGTGCTTATAAGTTATGATCAAAGATCAGTTAAATATCTCATATGGAAGGTTCCTGAAGTCTATTTCCTCAAGTAATGTGAAAGTGAATGGCCTCAGCTTTTTGACACTACCTTAATCTAATGCTTTCTCAATGCTTAGGAAATGCTTCCTAATGCTTTCTTCCAATGCTTCTCAATGCTTAGGAAATGTTGCAAGGGATTCCAGAAAGTCTCAGGAGGCTGAGTTTCTGTGACCTTACCTCACATCCCCACCTCTTCTCCCCTTCCCCACCCTTGAACCCTGCTTCTCCTTTCCACCCAGCTGTTCATCGGCAGGCAGGGTGCTACCGTTAGGGTGGCCCCACGACCATTTTTCCCAGCTCAGTCCCAATTTATGTCTGTCGTCCGGCCGTAACAAATAACCACTAATAACACTCCCTTCATTCTCAAGAGTGTCCTGCATGTGTGATCACCTTAGTTATTATGGAAAGAGCATGGGATTCAGAGTTAAAAGACCCAGGTTCAAAATTTATTTCTGCTACTTAAAACTGTGTAACCTTGGGCAGATTATTTACCGTGTCTGAACCTCAACTTCTTCATCTGAAAATGGGGAATTATACCAAATTTCCAAGTTTGCTGAAAGGACTGAAAGCACATAGAGGCAATCAGGATATAGTTATTTCATCCACAAGAAACGAGGGCTGAGCACTTGGTGCTCTCTCTCTCTGTGGACACCGTTACCTTGCCAACTTGGAAGCAGTCATCTGCTGTGAGGGAGAAGAGCCGTCTGGGGCTGTACAGGTCAGTGACAGCGGAGCCAACGACTCTCTGGAAGACGCCCCGGGCCAGGCCCTTCACGTTGAGCATGTACACATCCTGCAGCCGCATCAGGGCCCTTGCTGCTCCCTCAACGTCCTCAAAGGCTGGCAGGTCCTGCTCCACCTTCTCATAACCATCCTTCAGAGCTGTCGGGGCAGGAAAAACACCAATCCACCACTCAAAAGCAGGTGGTGAGCATTTAATACAGGCAAGGTATAATCACCTGTCCAAATATTTCATGAGCAAAGATCATGTTTTATGTGTGTTTATTCCCCATGGCTAGCACAGTTCCTGGCGCAGAGTGGATGCTTACTACAATCTTCTGAAGGAGGAACATAAGCTCTAGAATAAAAACTAAAGCACACATGTGTGCTTCCATCCTGTCTCTGGGAATCTTGCCCTTTGTGGGGATAACTCTTCTTCCTCTTAATCTCCCCAAAGTCAGCAAATTTCTTCAAGTACAAAGTAGAATAAATTAGGAAACTGACCTTGCTACAGATCACATTACAGTTTAATAAAATAGAAATTATTAGACAAATATGTAAATGGAATGATATAACCTGTACTTCTTCATAGGGTTGTAGTGAAAATCAAATGAGATGATGGGGTGAGGGGGCACCGGGGTGGCTCAGTCGTTAAGCGTCTGCCTTCGGCTCAGGTCAGGATCCCAGGGTCCTGGGATCGAGCCCCGCATCGGGCTCCCTGCTCAGCGGGAAGCCTGCTTCTCCCTCTCCCACTCCCCCTGCTTGTGTTCCCTCTCTCACTGTGTCTCTCTGTGTCAAATAAATAAATAAAATCTTTAAAAAAAAAGAAGTGAGATAATGGGCATGAAAGCACTTTTTTTTAAAGATTTTATTTTTAAGTAATCTCTATACCCAATGTGGGGCTGGAATTCACAACCCCGAGATCAAGAGTCGCATGCCCCAAAAGTGCTTTCTAACATACAATCACATAGACATATTAACAAGAGGACCTAGTTCTTCATAATAGCTAAAGCTCTGAAGATGGAGTAATACCCTACCCACTTCATGACCCTTCATCACATTCCACCAAAATCTCTCTCCTTTCTAGAGTCAGGAGATAGAATCTTCTCTTACCCTCCAGCCCTCCTCCTCATTACCTCGGATGTTCTCACTGGCCTCCAGACTATGTACTACATTCCTCCAGTCAGACTGTAGCCGTTTGATGAGAGTAAATGCAAGCAGAGGGTTAGACACAGGGGTTGCCGAATCCTCGTGCAAAGAAAGCACCTTGTCATAGAATCTGGAAGAGAGGAGAATGATATTGCTTACTGATATAGCCACTGCCCCTATTAAAGGCTGACATGGTGTATGTACATTTAGAGTAGTTAAAAATGAAACGTGAACCCCTTGCGATTCACATAATAGTCTAACCAACAAGCACAAAGAATATGAAAACTACCAAGACAACAGAAGTAGGTCCATTCACTTGTTCATGCAATGAGTCAGTCTCTGCTGGTCAGCTGCTGTACATCAGGCACCACGCTAAATGCTAGAGATTCAAAGGCAAGACACGGAGGAGCTCTCAAGCTCACAAGCCAAAAAATCTTTTCTCTCATCACTCTATAATCAATACTTAGAATGTGGTAGAAGCTTAAAAATGTTGTTAAATTGATTGCAATAATTGTGATACCGGCTAGGAGAGAAGTGAGCTTATAATGTTATGTAATGCTCCAGCCACTTGTACGCAGGGCCCCTAACCCAGGTGGGAGTTAGCAGGTGTAAGGAAAGATTTCCTGGAGGAAATGGCGCTTGATCTGAGTCCTACAGGATTAAACAATTGATAGCTGCTACTTACTGAGCTTTTAGCACGTACAAGGCATCCTGCTAAGTGCTTTATATATATTTTATCTCATTTAATAGCCCCAGCAACCCTCAGAGTAGATTTTATCAAGCCCGTTTTGAAGGGAGAGAAACCTGAAACGAGGCTACACTGTTCGTGACAAAACCAGATCTGAACCCAAATCTTCCTGACTCTGAAGCTTGTTCTCAGCTGATTTTGCCATATTGTTTCCATGGAGCTAAACCAAAATAGGAGGAAGAATTTTTTTTTTTTAGGTGTTGTTTTTGTTTTTTTTTTTAACTTGAATATAGTTGACTCACAGTGTTACGTTAGTTTCAGACGTACATCACAGTGATTCAAAAAATATGGAACGCTTCACGAATTAGCTTGTCATCCTTGCTCAGGGCCCATGCTCATCTTCTCTGTATCATAGGAAAAATATATTTTGAGCCAACGGGACCAACATGTACAAAAGCATAGTGGCTTGACAAACGTGTTCATTAATAAGTCAGTCTATACTGGTTACTTGCTAGATGGCGGACTCCATGCTAGATGCTGGCGATGAAAAGGCAAGACAGGGTCCAATGCTTGAAAATTTCATGAACAAGAAGAAAGCTGTTTTTCTCATTGCTCTATACCTAAATCCAACACACGTTTCTGTGAAAGAGTAACTAAAACACATTCTTCTAGGAGCTAGGAACAGGATTTTGAATAAGACAATAAACTTGGTGTCAAGGACTCATGGACTAGTGGGTGAGACACAAATAATTATATAACAGATGCAGCACCAGATTTAAGAACAAGGCTTAGGGGGCAGTAAGGAGAGGGGGTAATTAATTTGGCCAGAGCAGGTCAGAGATGGTTTCACAGAGGCGATAATACACCAAAACTTGATGGGTGGATGCAAATAAGGAGGAAGGGAGAAGAGGCAGGCAGAGATGGTTCAACATACGTAAAGGGACAGAAAGAAATGGGAGGTGAGTTCCAAGCTGTTCAGTACTGCTGGAGCCCCAGTGTATCCGGAGGATGATGGGTAGATCAGACTGGGCAAGGGAGGAGCACCTCACAGGCCCTGCGGAGGAATATGGGTTTTACCCTGAGTGCAATTAGCAGCCACCAAAATGTTTTCAGTGAGAGTTGGATACACTATGATATGTTTATGTATATGAATCTGTGAGAGGGTGGGGTTCAGAAGTGGGGATGACCGGAGGCAGAAAGAACAGTCTGGAGGCCAATTCAAAACTGGAAGCAAGAGTAAGGAGAGTCTGAACCATAATAATGAGGCAGAGGACGGGATAGAGTCAAGGGAGATATTTAGGAAGCAGTCCATACAAACTGGTGGCTGTAATGGGGGAGGTAGACGTGGGGTTGTCCAGCAGGCGTCCAGCCTCTCTGGCTTGCCGACATGTGTAGAAAAGGGCCAGAAATGGTGGGACCAGAAGTGATCATCTTTCTAGTTAATTTCTCTCCTCTTCTGATGTCCTACAACACTGTTCACATCAGCAAAAGATGCTGTTTCCTTTCCTGGCATCCTACAGTTATTCCATTTCTAACGCACTACCGGGATTAACATTATTACAATTTATTGATGATAATAAGGCAGGCCTAAGAGTTTTAGGCATGCCCTCTAAAAATTTTTTCCTTGTTTTAAAATTATTAACTTCAGGAGCAATATAATAACAACAATGGAAGTAAAAGAAAAAAGTACGTGCAAAGTGAAGAGGATATGGATTTATAGGCACGTGCTCGAGGGCGGTGAGACTATTGGAGTCCTTTGGCCAGAGTGGAAGACTTCAGTGAGCAAGAAGGGATGACAGGAAGAACAGAGGGAGTGGCAGGATGGGGGGATTCATTCCCGTGAAGCTGAGTCTGACCTAAGGGTTTCTCAAGGGTGGAGCCTGAAATAGAAGATGACTTGCCTCCAGGTGCCTCCAGGGAGCTCAGGGTTCAATTCAAGCATAAACTAAGGAACAAGAATTTGGGCCTGGGTGCCCCAGGGAGGAAATGAGAACCATGTCAAGGGCCAGGATGTCTCTGATACCTCAAACAAGGTGCCTTGAGAGCAGCTGCTACTCTACGGTTTTAAAAACTAAACCAGCCTCCAGGATGTGGGATTTTTTTTTTTTTTTTTTTTTTTTTTACTACCCATTATTTCCTGCTTCAGCTCCATATGGAACTACTTAGTGAAAGATATTCCACTGCTAGATGAAAACACTTACAAGCAGAGACTTGGGCTTGAATCCAGCCTGAAGAGTAAGTATCCAAGGACAACTGAGGCTGAGTGGGCAGTAATTTTGTTAGACAGTTGGATCAGGAGGAGACCCGGCTTCCAACTACCCCTCAGTTTGCTCCTCTGTAATATAACAGAACTGGTCTAGTCTAGAAGATCTCTACGGATCCTTTCAGCATGACCATTCTATTGTTTCTTTCCATCATCTTTTCCATAACTGAATAAATAGATTCTTCATTTGGTGCTTGAGGACTAATGTTTAACAGGCATCAGAGGAAAGAAGCAAGGCAGAGAGGTGAAAATTTTTCCCAAGTCCTCCAGCATATCAAAAGCACTAGCTCCTTGGGTGCCTGAGTGGCTCAGTCGGTTAAGCGTCGTCCCAGGGTCCTGGGATCGAGTCCCACGTCAGGCTCCCTACTCAGCAGAGTCTGCTTCTCCCTCTCCCTCTGCCCCTCCTCCTGCTCATGCTCTCTATGTCTCTCTTCCTCTCTCTCTCTCTCTCTCTCTCTCTCTCAAATAAATAAAATATTTTTAAAAAAGCACTAGCCCCTTGTTCTCTTCACATCGCACTTTGTATCATGGGGTCAGTTTATTTAGGGCAAGGGTTTGATCTCTACAGCAGCACATAATTCAGTTCAGTGTTCAGATACGTCATTTTTCTGTCACACAAAGAAAAAAACCTATCAACAGATATCTGAGACTGGTTTGGAATCCAAATGTTGGCCCTATTCCCAGCCTCTGAGCAAATAGCTGGTTTTCAGAGACCGAGTTGCTGGATGCTGAATTCAAACCTCAGGGTTTCCTAAATGGCCTTTTGCTTTAACAAATGTTGCTGAGAGTGGAAAATCAGATCCTTGCTTCAAGAATCTGCACATAAAATTTGCAACCCAATCCTGCGTTAAGGATAGCCTGGATAGGTCATCCAGCCGCAGTACATGGGCTATTTTAATTCAATATGTTTCTCCTTGGGAATTCAGAAATGGCTTTGTCTCAGTTCTTCTGAGACATCCGAATGCTTAATTCATAACACAAAAATTATTGCTGCTGATATTACTCTTTCTCGGTAGTTTCTTTAAACTGCAACAGCAAAAATAAAAAGCTAGGGGTTAACTATATATATCTATATATATACACACACACACACACACACATACAACTAGTATATTTATATATATAACTAGTATTTACACTATACTAGTACATAACTATATATATGTTTATATATATATAATATATATATATTTACTATAGTAAAATTTTTATTCATTAACTTGGAGTAAGGAGTAGTTTCAACATTGAAAAATATTTTGTTTCTTTTTTTAAAGATTTTATTTATTTATTTGAGAGAGTGAGAGAGAGCATGGGGGGTTGCAGAGGGAAAGGGAGAACCGGCTGAGCAGGGAGCAGCCTCTGCTCGATCCCAGGACCCCGGGATCATGACCTGAGCTGAAGGCAGATGCTTAACCGCCTGAGCCACCCAGGCGCCCCCCAAATCTTTTATTTCTAAATTTAGAAATTTAAAGAAGAATATCAACTGAGGCCCTTAGAAATAACATCTCAAGTTACATTAGATCACCAGATTGGGACTATAGGAAAATGAGCAGAACTGCCAAAATTCTTGTTTTAAAAAGCAAACATTTCACTAGGTTTTAGAGCATCAACTAAAGAACAGACAGTCTCTAAAATATCAAACTAAACTTTCTAACTTAAATGTTCATAACTCATCGGAGAAGAGAATCTAGAATTTTTCTAAATCTTTATTATCTGGGCTCTCACAATCTTAGTGCCTGCTTAGAGCCAAAGGTGGGGTCTAGTTTCACCAGGCAGTCTCAAAATAAAACAAAAAATCATACAGTTAGAGCTAACATTTGTTGAGCACCCATTACCTTCCAAGAAAAATGATAAATGCCTTTACATGGTACTTAATCCTTCCAACATGTCTGTGGGGTAGGTGCTATCATTACCATCATTTTACAAATCAGAAAATGCTTAGAGAGGTAAAGGACCTTGCCCAAGGTCAGAGCCAAGGATTCAAACAGAGGTCTGTTAAATTCCTGCATCCAGACTCTTACCCACTATGTACTCCAGTTGTTCATAAAACCTCAGTCGTTATGGGGTTTGGTCTGGATCCTGGCACATCAGATAAAGCAAGCCGTAAGGACCTCATGGCATGATAGAAAGAAACAATCAAAAGAACTAAGTCCTAGTCCTGGATTTGCTACCTACTAGATGTATAATCTCGGGTAACTAAACTTTAGTTTTCTCATATTTTAAATGATCTCTCATGTGTTTGAGAGAGTCATACAAACCTATTTCAAAGCATTGTGTGTAAGAAGCAAATGAGATTAGGGTTCTGTGACAATGGTGATGAAACAGTAGAGGAGACCAGCATCAGCGCCCCCCACCCCCTCCACCAGTCGCTTTGATCCACAGGGCCATCTCTCTGTTCTGAACCTGTTCCCTGAGAGGCTCGGCATCAGGATCTTGACCCCCTCATCTCTATCTGAGCCACCCAAATAAAGAGATTACTGGTATGAGAACGAGCACATGGATAGCAGGGAACTTGTTGGAATCTCAAATCAAAGAGAAGAGTCTTTTATTTCCACCAATAAACCTAGACTCCGATGCATGTGAACTAAGAACAGAATTAAAACATTTTGCTTTATAGAGTAGACCCATAAAACACTGGGCAACTATGCAACCCTGAAGAGTGATAAGAATTATTGAAATTATCATCTTTTATTGTTATAACACACACATGTATTTTGTGTGTGCATGTGCATATATTCACACTATTTCAAACTAATAGTAAATTTAAACACACATATAAGTGCTTATATGTAAGGTACATACTTAAGAGCATATACAAAATTACATCATCATTCAGTCACCATTGAGTAACAAACAAGATCTTTCGCACACACTTCCACACACAACCTGATTCTCTCCAACAGGAGCTCTCTCATACAGCCATAGTGTCCCACACACCTTCT